CAGGTGGAACCATTCTTCTGAAACTCTCACTCAAAGAGAAAAAGTTTAGTCTATGAAACTTTGATTATTTCAAGTAATAACTTACTTGAAGATGGTGTTATCGAGTTGGGGAATCAAGGGTGGCCATTCTTTCCCCGCGGAACACCCAAGTCCACGCTCTGTGACACGGCAGTTGACTTGGCTGAGAGACCAAGACCAAGAAGATGAATGTGAGAGACGTGTACTTTGCTCAATATAGGGCCAGTTTAGAATGACTTGCAATTAGCTCTTCAATAGTAATTTTTAAAATACAAGAAAAGAATTTCATCTTGATTTATGTTTAATGTGTTTATAATTCATTTTAAACGTCATGCCAAACAAGTCAATAATTTGCTTCACACCCTCTCTTATCAATACTAATATTTGGTTCTTAATTAATTATGCTCAAAGTTGCCAATATCGTATATTAAATAAGCCGAACAACCAACAGTACAAGTGTGAAACTAATAGCAGAAACGTGAACGGTAGAGGGAAGACCCTGAGTCAACGTTTTATAAAGCGTGTCATGGTCGTGGAATGCATCAGAAATTTTGAAAAAGCTCATGTGACTATACGATCCGTTTACATTGAGGGTAAAAAAAATAATTTATTTTTAATCTAACTTTTAGAAAAATAAGATTAGGTCAAAGTTAAATTAGGCAATGTGATTTATGTTTAGATTGACTTTTATAAAAGTTACTCCTTCCGGTTCTAAATATAAGACTCATTTTATAGTGTAATTTACACTAAAAAATAGATCTTATATTTAAGACCGAAGGAGTAATTTGTAAAGTAAAAGAATTGTTTGGATTATCATTGGATAACTAAGTTAGTTTGTCAAAAGACCAAAATAGATATGACTTTTATTAAACAATAAAAAAATGATTAAAAATATAAACTTACAAAATATAATAATTTAAAATTATTATAATAGGAAGAAGTTATATTTAATGAATAAAATATACTTAAATTAGAAATCATAGTAATATGAAATGTTTTTAACCAAATAATAATACATAATTAATTGAATGATATACTCAGCATGATTTATGTAAATATAATATGAAAAATAATATTAAAAATTAAAAATATTATAAAAATTGTTAAAATTATTTTTTGCTTAAGAGAATATTAAAAATAAATAACTAAAAATTGATTACATAGCACAAAAAATATATAAGTCCAAAAAACTGTTTTTTCATAAGTCGTAAGTAAGTTTTAAGTGTTTTTGCAATCGTGCTAAAAAAACCGCTTTTGACTCATAAATTAGATCGGTCAAAAATTGTTATAAACCGTTCTCATCAAATTTACAAATAGACTTATCACACCTATAAATTACTGCTTACCTGTTGAAACGCCTTACCAAACGGGCACTACGTTGCCTAATAAAGAAGCTGCGTCACTCTTCAGATTAGATATGCATATTCATGTTTCCTTTTGATCGCCATGCCCATACAAGTAAAAGATGATATCGTATGGGGATAATATGGAATGAAAGTGCAATTTTTAACTATGTTTAACAACATTTCGTTTGTATGCTTATGAAGATATAACTTTACATTAAGGCTGAGATTGATGAATAGTGCAAATGAATAATGAACACGCACTCATTGGCTTTGCAAATATTCCTGCTCCATTAGAACTCATCTGGGTATACCTTCATGATTTGTAATTGTACCTGTGGAATCAATCAATTTTGGAATTAGTTAAACTGTCTTCAACTGTAGAGTTTTGAAAAGCTTACGTTTTTGCTTCTGATCAATGCTTTTGTTTCATGAGATTATTTGAGAAGGATTTGATGAGGAGGAGATTGAGAAAAATGCTTACAACGACATGGAGGTTCTAGAGAGCTTCAATACTAACCAAATGATAGTTTAAGGACTAATGCTCAAATAGTTACATGATATAAAGAATTTATTGCAAAAATTTGAAACCCAAAAGCTTATATAGAGTATTATTTTTTAAATTAATACTTTATCAAGAAAGAAGCAGTGGCCTATATACAAGTACGACATATATGTTCTTGGCTAATTAATATCCATGTCTCTCAAATTTGATCATTCGTTAATGACAATTATACATGGAACCAATTAAGACGTGCATAAAGTTCTTACTTAAGCTGAAATAATCATTTATTTTCGAGCCACCATTTTCCTACTAATTCTCTAATCATATAGCCACCAGAGCTCCAACCATTTGATTGGGACTCGATGGTTAGTGATGGAGGGAGTTTTTTCCTATTGCATAAAGATAACAAGGTAATTTGACCCCACAAAAAGTTACTTCTAGAACAGTTCTTAAAGACCTTATAGAAATGAAGTCATTTTGCGTCACTGTTATTTTTAGGATTTGCTTGTTTCAATTGTCATTATTTCTCTTTCCTTTGTAATCTTGCACAGGTACACCAACGCACTTGTGGTTTCTTTGACGATTTTGACGCAAATAGGCCATGCCAATGGGAAAGAAAACCTCTCCACTTTTCTTACCATTCACTTCCCTCCACTTCTGTATTCTTACGATTGCGTCAACTTTGAATTGTTAAAATCTAATACTACGTACCTCTTATCATAAATATAAGTCACTTGTACATATATTTGCATACTAAAAAATGCATGATATTAACAAAATTTTTCAATTTACCCTTATTAAAGTTTTTCTTTCTCTCTATACATTTACCAATTATTCTCATATCTCTCTCTCACTTCTCTCTTTCCAATAAGAATCAAATAAGGGTAAAATTAAAAAAACAAGTATTAAATATACTTTTAGGATTAAAATTTTTTCTTATAACTGACTTGTATTTATGACAAAAGTTATAGATTTTATATTTAGGACGTAAATATATATATAGTATTTTAATGAAAGTATATATATGTGAATTTTAATAATTTAAATTTATTTATATTTTTTTTATTCGATATTAAAATAATATTTTCATAGGATACTGAATCTCAACCTTCCAAAATTAATTTAATGATGAGAATAAAAAAGTAGGGGTGGATGATAAAGGAAGTAAAAAGGTTCCTTCCTTACGCGACAGGAGGAAAATGAAGGAGAAGGAAGGAAAGATTTTAATCAGTTTAATTTAAAAAATTAAAAAAATAAAATTTTAAAATTTTAATAAAAAATATGTAAAATAAAAAACAATAAATATCAATTAAAAGTTTTTAACCTCAATTTTTTAATTTCACTCACTTTTTTAATTTTTTAAATTTAACTTATTAAAATTTTCATTTAACCTCACATCCACTCCATCTCCCTCGTACCAGAAGTACAGTGGCAGTGACTATGAGTTCGACCAGCGATAGTGCCATTTGAGATGCATTCAAAGACGAGGACAGGTCTTGGCTTCGGCGTGAGGCGCAACCATATAAAGACACAACTTCTGAACTTAAGAAGCAAGAAGTAAGATGCAATTAGTATAAATGATCGCAGCACAAAATGGACCGTGAACTACAAATAAGTTTAAAAGTAATTTTACGAAACTCCAGATAAGATAAGCATGTAAAAAAAATTTTGTTTTGTGAAAGCACCTTTTTAAACTCATTTAGGAGCTCTCAAACACCTCCTAAATATTAAACACTGAAATTAACCGTAGATTCACTACTCTATTTTACAGTGACACTACTTGGTGAAGACGATGCCTTCAACAACTTTGCATGATCATAGCTTATTGGAGTCTCCAAAGGTCGTGTATCTGTATCAGCTTTATCTTCCTCTACATTTCCACCGTCTTCTTTCCCACCCTCTATTTCTTTCAAAATCTCTAAAACCTCGGTCATGGAAGGCCTCATCTCTTTATTTACCTGTAAACATTGAAATGCCAATTCTCCCACTGCAAACACCTTCTTCTTCACCTCACTATCCTTCTCAATCTTCAAACATTTATCCACCAGCTCCTCAAATTCATTCCTCTGAATCTTCCCAACTGCAAGACTCCCCAACGTAATCTCATCTATGTTCCTTCCCATATCAACAGCCGGCATTGAAGATATCAACTCCATAAGCACAACTCCAAAACTATACACATCACTTTTGTCAGTTAGCCTAAAGCAAAAGTAATATTCAAGATCAAGATAACCCGGTGTTCCTTGTGGTGTTGTGAAAACATTGGACACATCATCTAGGAACAACCTAGAAAGTCCAAAATCAGCAACCTTAACACAAAAATTGTTGTCAAGGAGAATGTTGTTAGTTTTGATGTCACGATGGATGATGCCGGAAGCATGAAGGTAAGAGAGCGCGCTTGCAGTTTCTATGGCGATTTTGATTCGAACAGGCCAAGTCAGCAATGAAGGATTTGCAGAGCTGCCATGGAGGTGACTGGCAAGGGTTCTGTGTGGGATGTATTCATAAACAAGAAGAAGCTCACGGCTCTAACATAAAGTGCAGCCATAGAAGGAGACAAGATTTATGTGATGTAAGCGAGTGAGGATCTCAACTTCTGTCATGAATTGTTCAACTCGCTTGTAGTTGTGGTTGAATAGGTATTTCACTGCAACTTCACGCCTATCTGGAAGCTTCCCTATAAATGAAATAGCTTAAAGATTAAAACTTTATGAAGGAAAATAATAGATTATAGGGGAAAAAAAATGAGAGTGATTGATTAGATGACCATAGTAAACAGAGCCAAAGCCTCCATCCCCAAGTTTGTTGGAAGGATCAAAGTTCTTTGTTGCGTCTTGAAGCTCCTTATAAGAGAAGATTGGGACTCCAAAGAAGAGTCTTCCATTATCTGGGTCTGCATCACTTGGGTACTGATTCGTTGATCCTATTCTGACATGGGACAGAGCATTTTGTTTCTGTTTGTGGAGTCCGAAGCAGAGCAGCAACGCTAATATCAGAATTCCCAATCCCACTCCAAGACCTGCCCAAGCGTCAAGTCCTTGAAAATGTTTAATTAAATCTTTCACTTGAAGATCATCTTTATTGTTTCTTGGGAACCTCATAATGTGAACACAGTAAAAATGAAGTAAAATTACCTATTATGGTTCCCAGCTTCCAAGGCCGTCTTTTATTTTGATCTTCTGTCTCAATTTAATTAGAGTGCGTTAGTATTGGGGTTGCTTAGACTAGATCCACGCAACAAGAACAACAACAAGACAAACAAGCTTCTAAAAAAGAATGAGTAAATTTCACTTGTTGGACCTTAGAAATTCTCTTCTTTTTTCTAACCTATGTTCTGCATACCTTTCAATTTGAGACAATAAAATCCTCCAGTGCTGTTGAGCCGGCATAAGCCTTTCTCAAAACAACATCGACCACAACCAGGAGAAAGTTGAATGTTAACATGGAATTCAGAAGCTATGAATGTAAATGGATCAGCAGAGAAAGCCAACATGTTCACTGGAACCTGAACCCTTGGACATGCTGCTAAAGAAGATGGAGTATCATCTTCATCTTGCGTTCTGAAGAAGATGGTCTCATTAGTACTCTTACCACATCCTGTATAGTCCAAGAATTGCTTTGGAAGCCTGTAATTGAGCGAACTATTACATTTCTACATGGTTATATTTGGCAATATATGAAAGGAACCCAAGGGCGAGCTTGGAGGAAGGGTAATATTGCAGCACAAGGCATCACAATTATCATTTACCAGACGCTTCTGTAAATCTGCGTCTCTAATGAAAACTTCAGCATTGAACTTGTGTCTTATCCTTGTCACTTGAAACATGTTTGTTCCTAACTACACAGTTTTCTCAGCGTTGGGGGTTTTCACAACCATGAATGGGCAGCATTCCACAGTCTCTGCGTTGTGAAGTCGTTAAGGGGAACCAGAGATTGCCCAGATTCCCACAGTCAAAGAAAGGGGGGCACTCATCTCCTGAAGCAGAATGGTCAGCGAAAAATAAGAAGAAGAACAAATGAACAGGTAGAACCATTCTTCTGAAGGTCTCACTCAAAGAGAAAGAGATTGTGATTGTTTCAAGCTATAACAACTAGCTTGAAGGTTTTATCCAGTTGGGGAATTAAGCGTACCAACTCGTTCTACGTGGAACACAGCACAAATGGAAGCTCTGAGACACGAGTCCTTCTCTCAAAATAATGTGCTTCATACATTCTCTTAAATGTCTGGTTCTTTTTAAGTGATTATGCTCATCACAGTGTAAAAAGCAGAGGAATTAATAATGAAGCAGAAAAGTGAATGAGGGAGGGAAGACGAGACGACTCAAAGTTTGATAAAGCGTGGGGTGGACGTGGAACGCATTAGAACTTGTGCAAAAGCTCATGTGCTGTGTTACCTAATGAAGAGGCTGCATCACTTTTTCTTTTTCATACTAGATATGCCTATTTATGTTGCCTTTTGAACGGGGAAAAGGGAAATGCAGAGGTCTGGTAATGAAACCAAATAACAATTTAACTGTATGAATGGCAATAAAAAATTATGACATTAGGTTATTGGATGAGATCTTCTTGAGATTTGCTTATTTCAATGGTTGTGATCGAGTAAATGTGACAAGGTGATACATGAAACATCAAATTGTCAATCGTTAATTAATTAATCATGTTCAGTCTCTTGAAAGATGTGTGGTGCTTGATCAACCATATTAATTGGATGGTTTAGTAGTGGCTTATCACATTAACTTTTTTTATCCAAAACAAAAAAAGGTTATGCATCTCCATCTCTCACAAAATCTTGATGTTAACTAAAGTTGACACTTGACAGTCAATTTGATTAAGTCAGCCACTAACCAACTGGCCCAATGATTTTACTGCCCATAATTGGACGAAATCAATTCGAAAAATACTTATACACCACACAAAAAAAGTAAGAAATTGCTCTTCAAAGGAAAATCATATGCTTATTTTTTGAAACATGTACAATTTGTATCTCTTTTTCCCATTACTTTTTTTTCTTTTTTATTTCTTTTTTTTGCTTTACACCGCCTTCAGTCCTATTTATAAGCTTCAAATTTGAAGAAGAATATAGTCTCTTCTATAAGCTTTAATTTGAGTTTTTCTTAACATTTAATATTCTTTTTAATTTTGTCTTAAATTATGTATTCTCTTTCATTCGTGATACCACCTTTCATCACATTTTTCTAAACATTCTTTTTTATTCTTTTTTCTCATTTATTAGAAAAACACATTTAGAAACAAAACCATATTTATAACCTATTTATTATTTTTAATTAATTTTAACTGATTATGCGTTACCTGTAAATTAATTATTTAAAGCTTATCAATACTGGAAGGAATATAATTCAACTGTGCATGCATTTTCCCTCAAGCCTCAACTATGAGTATATGATGACGACTGTGATATTATCATCCTTTGAAAAAATAGAAGGATGGATCAGGAATTGATAACCCAATTTGTCTCATCTACATTTTTTCTCCTGAAACATCAACATGAATCAAGCACTCGCATTAGGGGTGGTAGATTCACTCGTCCACTTTTCAGTCACAGTATTGGGCGAAGAAGGAGGTGGGTTCACCTTCTTTAATAAGCCAACTTCTTCCTTCTCCGGTGACACTGACGGCGGCGATGGCGGCGGCGGTGCCAATGGATTCACATTACCGCCATCTTCAAGATTCTCAACCTCACCTTTCCCACTCTGAATCCTCTTGAGCGCTTCCAAAACCTCTTCCATGGAAGGCCTCAAATCTTTATCTCTCTGCAAACACTGAAACGCCAATTCCCCCACAGAAACCACCATCCTCTTCACTTCACTATCATCCTCAAACCCCAAACTTGGATCCACCAGCTCCACAAACGCACTCTCCTGAATCTTCTTCATCGCCAAACTCGACAAGTTCACTTCATCCTTACTTCTGCTTATATCCACCGCAGGTTTAGAAGAAATCAACTCAATAAGCACAACCCCAAAGCTATACACATCACTCTTACTAGTAAGCTGGTAACATTGGTAGTATTCTGGGTCAACATATCCTGGAGTTCCTTGTGGGGCTGTGGAAACATGCGACACATCATTGGGGAACAATCTAGACAGTCCAAAGTCAGCAACTTTAACGTTAAAATTGCTGTCTAAGAGGATGTTGCTGGTTTTGACATCACGATGGATGATGTCTGAAGCATGAAGGTAGACCAAAGCACTTGCAGTTTCTATGGCGATTTTGATTCGAATAGGCCATGAGAGTGATGTACAGTTCGATAAGTCACCTTCAAGATGACTAGCGACAGTGCCATTTGAGATGTATTCGTAGACAAGGACGAGGTCTTGGCTACGCCGTGAAGTGCAGCCATATAAAGACACAAGATTTTTGTGGCGTAAGCGTGCTAGGATCTTCACTTCATTTCTGAACTGTTCTACTCGTCTGTAATTGTGTTCATATAAACGTTTCACAGCAACTTCTCGTCCATCACTGAGTTTTCCTAATCATTAAAGTTCATGTCAGAGTCTATGGTTGGAGATTTGGCAGAAAATATGGAGATCTGTGAGAGAATATATAGCTTACCATAGTAAACAATTCCAAAGCCGCCATCTCCTAGTACTCTTGCTTGGTCGAAGTTGTTTGTTGCTTCTTGAAGCTGTTTGCAAGAGAAAAGTGGAACTCCCAAGTAGATATTGCCATTTTCTGGGTCTGAGTTTGAATAATCAGCAGAAAAAGAGTTTCTGGGTTCGAATTGATAATCATCATCAGAACCATGTTTTCGCCTGTAACACCATCGTCCAATGAGCCACACAGTCATCAGAATGACCGGAAGCCCAATGCCTAATCCTGTTGCAGCAGGGAATCTCCATCTTTAACATGTGATAGAATTTTACTTCTCAAATATTACAAATTCATAGTCATTTAAGACGATAAAGTAACTAATGAATGATGAATATGTAAACATTACCTATTCCTAGTCCCAGCTTCAGAACCCTGCTCCTATCCTCTGCAGCAGGAATTAAAAAGAAGAGAGTTTTTAGTTTAAGCAACAAAATCTAAAGCAAAAGACAATAATGAGAATCATGTTAAGCTCACTGGATAAAAAGGTAGAATCTCAGACTCAGTTTTACCTTTAAGGAATGTCACTTGAATAATTCAAAAACAATCTAGAACCATACCAGCTCTTGTTAATTTATCAAGATTTTAGGAGACAGTAAGAAATAAAATGCAATATCTGCATGATTTTTGAGCCGTTGAAGATGTTATTATCCTGTTGCCACTTGGAACAAAGCACATCTTTTTGGACTAGAATATCCATAGACCAAACAACTAATTAGATTGTACCTCCACCGCAGTTAAAGATTCTGTTGGGATCAAGTTGACAACAGCCTGCTCTGTCATAATGACACTTACTACAATAATTGGGTAATTGTACTTGAAGAACGACCGTGGAAGTTATGAAAGTAAAAGGATCATCAGAATCAGGGAGGTCTTTAACAGGAAACTGAATAACAGAACATGAAGATAATAAGCTATGGCTCTGATTCCTCTCTCGATATGCAAGATCATAAATGATATCATAGTCACCACAGGTAAAATTGAAGAAAGAAGAAGGCAGGGGTTTGATGTGGAGGGTTCGGTTGCATCTAAAGAAGAATCCATTGTTTCTGATCTTGATAGAAGCCAGAGGAGAAGGGAAGGTGAGAGGAAGAGTGTAGTTACTAACAAAGGCTTCACAAGTTCTGCTTCTTAAACGCTCATGGAGATCCAAGTCTCTGATAACAATAGTAGATTCAGCAGAAACAGAAAAACTGACACTTAAAACCTTAAAGGTTGTTCCTTTGTTGCTTAACAGAGTTTTGGGAACATCAGGATCATGACAACCTTGTATTACAAATAAGCCACAGTCTCTGTGTTCTGTGGTGGTCCAAGGGAATTGGATCTTTCCCAGATATCCACAGTCAAATGAAGTAGGACATGTTGATTCTACAGCTTCAAGAAGTGGAAGAATGGATAAAAGCAAGAAGATGATCCTAAAGACAAAAACTGAAGCCACACCCTCAAATCAACAGAAGGGAATAATCTGATCCACTAAGCTATGGCCTTATTTACTAAAGTCTGCCTTTGATCAGAGTGAAGGATTACATTAAATAAAAGTAGAAGGGAAAGCAATTTCAAGTTTTGGTTGTTGACTAGCAGCAAAAAGACTTTGACTCTTGAAAATGCAAACCATTTTGGTTTCAATCTGCGTCTCTCTATCTGAATGTTTTGGTATATCTGTGGATTCTAATTTGAAAGGAAGGGGGGAAAAAAAAAAGATTGAAACTTTCAGGAAAAGATGGGACGTTGAAACAGCGAACACAAAGTGCTAGAATGAACGAAAACAGGCAATTTTCTGATAAAACATTCTTAAATAAGTGGAATCTTCCACTCCAATTAATATTGACCAGCATGAACAATAACATAAGTGTGCCTTCTCTAAATAATGCATATATATAGTCTTCTAGTCCTAAGAGTTAATTAATTTGAATATATTAAGAAAACTAATTATTTAATTATAATAAATATATATATGATCTTCCTAAAATATCCTTGTAGCATTATATTATATATCAATTTATAAGTTAGATAAATTAGTTTGAAAACAAAATGATGAATATGAAAGATTAAGTGAATTAAAAATTTATTATCCAAGTTAGCTTAGCTTCTTAACAAGCTCATACATTAAGTAGTACTAGAGGAGTAATATACAAACAAAATCATGTGTTCCTTCAAAGAACATTCTGGGCTTATATGATACATATAATTATTTATTTATTTTGCCATCATGAATAGAGACATATTGAAAACTCTTATTTCTCTGTTTTTCAATTACTGTATGCAAGTAACATTGATCTTCACCCCAAAAAAAAAAATCCATGGATCTGAATACTATTCAAAGTAAAGTACGTGTCATCAATGTTTGAAACATAAGCGCGTAATTTTATATTTTAAAGTAACATATTAATTACTGTTTTTATTATATTATTTTTTATGGCAACTTTGGATACGTTAGGTTCACAGGAAATTAAATTATGTTATCTGTAATTATCACTGCAATTAGCACGCCTAATCTGGAACTTAATTAAACCAGAAATACATGGTTGACTACTTCGAATTTTCAATTTTGACTGCCTTCTAACACGGAAATAGTTATCTATTTTTGACTAATTATATTTTTTTAAAAAAAATCAAGATGTCAATGGTTGCCACTTTTTTTCGTTTTTGTTTTTGGTGCGAGGAAACCCAAATTTGAAGAGTCTAAAAACGAAATAAATTCAAAAAGTAGCAAACACCAATCTCTTTCTTTGAGTCAACATCTTCCTTCTTAATACAAGTGACAAACATTATACAGCTTGCAAAAATTAAATTAGATGAATAAAAAATTGTCTGGAAATTCCAACCAAAAACTTTTTTACCTCGTGGAACTTTCTTTGCATTTAATTAATTATGTGAGCACCAACAAAAAAAAAAGACATGGGAAGATTTAATATGTAACCGAGTTATATTTGCCTATAACTAAATAATCCACTTTCTTTTCATCTCTCTTTTAGGATTATAACACAAAAATTAAAAATATACTTAATATATTAACATTAATTTTTATATTTTCTATTATAGGAAAAAAAAAACTTAAGTCAAGTTTCTTATATATATTATATCAAATTTTCAAATGTCTTTTTTTATCTTATGTGGATTAATAATTAAATGTTATTAAATATTAATATTTTAAAAATAGAACATAAAGTCATGTTTAATTGAAGAATTTAACATAATGGATACAAGAACTTGATGTAAGCATTGTACTCTCCAATATACTCTTAAGTTATTTTATTTTTCTATTTTCATAATTATCTCTCTTACCCAATAATTAAGCTGATGATGATGAAGAAGAATGGATGTGGGTAAAAATCAAGAATCCAAATCTTCCTAAACAAGAACAAGAAAAAGGAGTGGTATTATCTTCTGTTTTTTGGTTTGGGATAATTAAAAAGTAACTATTCTCTTGGGCTTTTAAAATAATAGATAAACAGAAAAAAAATTCCCAATATGATTTTTTTAAAAAAAACATATTGGAATAAGTTCAATTATTTTAACTCGAGATGCCCTTTCTTTAATGAAATAATTAACATCATTCGACTAGCCTTTTACTTTTACTCTTGCATCTTTTCGCGTCCATTATTATACTCGTAACCAAATCCTTTGTATTAGAGGTGTGCAAAAATCTAGTGATCGGTGCAGTGCTGTGATTCAATCTGGTTCAATCTAGTCTAAATAAGCTATATAATAAAATTAAACCAAACCGACGGGTTGGACTGGGTTCCAAACCAAGTAATCAAACAACCTGGACTAGTTTGGTTCAGTCCAATCCAACTTGAGGTGATCCAATCTTATTCAGTCTAGTCCAAATAAGCAATGTAATGTTTTTAGATATTTTTATTTATTTATGATTAAGCACAATATTTTAGAATGTGTTTTATTTAATTATAGGCATTTTGCATTGACTTAATTGTATATATCATGTCGAAATCTTGCTTTTCATAAAGAAAAAATTTTTTAAAAAGATTGGGAACATGGATTGCCTAGACTAGTCCATCGGTCTAGGAGACCAAATCCAATCTAACCTGACCTGAGTGAGTATTGGACTAAACCAAACTACAAACTGTCAAATTCAGCCCAACAAAAAATTAGACCAAACTTCAAGTTAAGTTCTAATCTAGTTCAGTCTGTCTAATTGTGCAGCCTTACTTTATCTATTGACGTTTTACTTCCTTCGGTAATATTAATCTCCCAAACACCATAGATTTTTTGGTCCGGCCTCTTCACATGAAAACAAGATAAAGTAAAACCATCACATGTTCATCTGAAAAAGGCCAAAACTTTGTAATCTAGAGAGCCAATGGCCATTAAACCATTTATAGAAAAGTCAACACAATCATATCACATTGATAACACAGCGCCATTATACTTCAGTTACACTAAAATCTTTAAATAAATTATTAATCAAAAGACTCCTAAATAAACTTCATATGTTTCGTTAATCCTTCTCAGAAGACTCTTCCATCCATTAGACCCTTCTATCTCATTAGTTTAATTATCTTATTAAATTTTCTTAATGGAGACAATCTGATCAATATCGCTAGATGTAATCACTTCTTTCCATTGAATTTTAAACCGTCGTTGGCCTAAGTTATCGTCTTTAGTCCCAATTAATATCATCAATTATGAAAATCAAAACTTTTTTCAAATACTACTAGTGACAATATTTTAACAAAAAAAAAAAAATTAAATAACTCGAAATTTTATAGAAAGGTGAAAATTAGTATATTGCAGTAACTTGAAAAGGATAGAGACCACTAACCGGTATCGCATCTGACGGCATGATCTCTATCTGGGCAATAGCATCTGAAACTGTAAACATTTTTGCTGAAGTCGAACCCACACTTGCCTCTCGTCTTCGAACACAAACTGCAATTCGCCACTAACCAATTCAACACAAAACCTCTTCTCACCACATCCATGTTAATCTCTCCTCTCGTTTGATTCTCACTAATCTTCGTCCTCACCACCGTATTATTACACTTCTCCGTCGCAGACCTCAAATCTCCACCCTTCCCCTCCGTCATGGCCAAAACTGGATTCGTTTCGTTGTCTGCAGAACACCCAATTCTGTAATTCAGAAGATTGTCCGGCAGCAACCCCAGATTGCATCCGAACAACAAGAACAGGTTCCTCTGGTTCGGAGCGTAACTGAATCTTGTCCCCTCGATAGTGATGTTGTGAGTACGAGGAATCGCACAGGATGATGCTGATGATGTGGAGTTTGATGTAGACAAAGCAGCTTCGGACACTCGAATTGAGTGCGTGATGTAAGAAATTTCATGGATGATGTAGCGGGTATGGGAGATATTGAGGATTGGGAACGCATTATCGGAACAAGAAAGGCCGAAACCTGGGTAGCCACAGAAGGGTTGTTGTCGGCCTTCGATGTAAAAAGGGTAGGTTATGGTTTGGTTGCCGCAGGTTGCGGGCTGACAAGCTTCGAACTTTGGGTTCAGAGATGAACACGAGGTGAATCTGGCCAGCGAACAGAGGAAGACGATGATGAAGAAGGAGGAGGAAGAAGATGGGAAGAGGTGGCGGTTTTGGATCATTTGGGCTGTGTCATGTCAGAGTGTGGATATGGCGATAGATATGGAAAGGCGAGGGAGAGCGGAGAGAGAGAGAAGAGAATTACAATTATTGTTATAATGAATATAATAATGGATAATTAACGATAACACAAAGAGGTGGAACTTTGAAGTTTGAATGAAGATATGACAAAGGATTTGACCTGAAATTCGAATGCTCATTGCAAATTCATCATCCTCTCCCACTTGCCTTTACATGGACATATCCATATCCATATCCATATCTATACATTATACTTTATATTTATTTATATCATAAAATCACTTTTAAACTATATTTTGATTTTTATCCAAATATCTCATTAAACTTTTTAAAAAACTTAATAGTTTTGAAATATATTAAATACTTTATTTAATAAAAATACTAAGAAAAAATAAATTAATACAAAAAATAGTATATTTAGTAAGAATAGTGTCAAAAATCATTTAAATTTTATAATAAATTTAATTTTATACTTTTTTAATTAGTACGTGTTAATCGTTAAAAAAGACTTCTATTTAGAAATAGAAATTATATATAGGTATATGTATATATAATATATATACACACATTGTGAGGAAACAAAGATACACGTGTGTGTGTACACATGTGTGGGCATGTGTACATAATTACATGTTTATATTGATATGTATATCTTTGTGTATTCTCTCAATTTTATTCTTTTTATTTTTTTTCTAAATATAAGTTTCAATTAAAATTTATTAGTTTATTTTCTTCCAGACTGCTTAAATTGAATTTAGATGGTTTTAGTTTAATATTTCAAATACCATGAAAAATGGGGACTTTATTTGTCCGCCTGTAGTTTCTTTAACTTCTTGTGTAGCTTCTAAATTGGACTTTTATTGGGTGGTTGAATGAATTGAATGTGCGCAGAAGATTTGCCAGATTGGAACCTATATGCGAGCAAGTGGAGACAACTTGATCAACTCACGGCCACAAACTTTATTCCCTTTTATATGGTTTTCACTTTTTCCACTTTAAGAAGGGAAGCGCCTCCCATCCCAATGGCTCCTAGTTCCAACATCTCTAATAATTATCTTGACTAGTATTTTGATTTTATTTATAACCCAGTTTTAACATTTTTAATAATTCATTCATAATTCATTCATAAGTAATTTAGGAGATCGTTAGCAAAAATAATTATGAGATCATGCAACCTTTTTATAATATTTATTAAGAGAGAAAAAAGTGCAGCTGACTGAATCCTACCTGTTTTGAAAATAAACAACTGGCACATACTTTCTTTCCCCTCCCCCCAAAAAAAAAGACCAATACACTTAGCACTACTCTTAAATTTATTAAATTTGTTGCTAAACTATCGTTATTAAACCCAAAAACCCCTAACGGATGGCTAGTAACCCAAAAAGAGAAAAGAATAGGTTATATTTTTCATAACTAAGAAAATCATTAAATCTCATTAACTATATCTTAAAACTTAATAAATTTGTAACTTTACGCATGCATGATATGCACAAAGTTTATATAATGATAAATAAAATGTAAAATTGTTCAGAAACAAAGAATAGCAGTTTGGTCATTTTACTTATTCCCTTTGGTCTCAAATATATGTCAATAATAATTATTTTATCTGGTGATAATATGGCAAAAATTTAAAGCTTTATTTGGTACTAAATATACGACAAAAAATGTCATAGTTAAAAAATTAGAGCATTTTTTGCCGGCCGAAAAAAAGAAGTAGTATTCCTCCGGTCCTTAATATAAGACACATTTAACTAATTTAATTAGATTAAAGAAATTAGGTAAGTTAATTAATTATAAGAAATATGACATGTTTTTCCTAAAATATCATAATCATCTTTCTTAATACCTTGTCTTCCTTTTCTACTTGATTATGATTGAAGGTATATCTATAAAGGTAATTTAGAGAAAATTGATAAATATGAAAAATTAGTTTTATATTTAAAACCAAAACTAACTTAATATGTAAATCTTATATTAATTAAGAATCGGAGGAGTATTTTATGGCCTTTCTTGGACGATGATCCAACAAATACGAGTAATCAAAAGGGTTCGTGTCACCATGATCCAACTAATACGAGTCATCAAATGAGTTCACGTCCTTTGAATCCATGACATTAGTACTTGGTAGGATGATTTAAGAAAAAAGGATTGATTCGAAAATGAAATGGAAACTCCAATTCATTCATTGAGTTACCGAGTTTTGACGTGGCCAATAATATCATAGCCGACATCCTCATCCCCTGGCTAGCATGATGAAGACATGGATTTTTCTCTTTTTGGTTTTTGTCAAAGAGGGAGGATAGGTACTGCTGAGCAGGATTGAAATGACTGGGCGAGCCGTGTCTAATGTGACGCTGTTCAATGGCCTCTGTGATGCGATTGTCAGATATCATATCACTTCTTAATTATAATATTTTATTTATAAATTATAAACAAAATCTTATAATTACAATTAAAAGTAATATTATATTAAAACCAAGTTTATTAATTTGAAGGAATAAAGAAAATTAGTTATGTTAGTTATTTATGGTAAACATATATCATCTTTCTTAGAACACTTTTACTAATTATATGTATTAGCTAAAACTACTATTTGATGAAACATTTAACGTGTGCAACTAATAAAAAGATTACTTTAAAAAAAAGAATAAACATAAGAGATAAAGTGGATTACGATCTTATATTTAGGATCAAATTAAAAGTTAAACTAACTTTTATATTGAGTACTTATAAAATTAGTGAAATTTTGATATTTCATAGGTATAAAACGGCAAAATTTGAATAGGTATAAAACGGCACAATTTGAATCTTTTACAAAATCGTAAAAACTTCAAAATTTTAGTTCTGAAAATATCAAAATATCATTCATTTTATATAGAATATAAATATTAATAAAAAAATAAAAAGTACTTTTGAAACGTGGGGAGTTGGGACATCACAAGAAGCATCAAAACCCCCGCCCGAAATGGCAACTTCCCCGCAATCACAATTTTCTCTTTATATGGAAGTTTTTATGTCGTGGATGTTGGGTTTGTTGAGTCTCAATCTGAGCTACTTTGATTTTACTCTCTTTTCTATCTTGTTACTTTTTTGACTTACGTTAAGTGGGCCTGTGTCTGTTGGTTGTTCGGGTTCTGCTCAATTTTTTTTTTTGGTAACCAGCCGACTTTTTATCTCGATCTTTTTATTTTTTTTATAATAAAATTGCCTTTTAACTTAAAAAAGCGGAAGCTTTTACGTGATTAGATTACAAGATAATTGACACTTTTTGACAAAATACCATTTGTAAGTGTGGCGGAGGAAAATCCCATAACAATTCTCCTCTGATTCTTAATATAAAACCTATTTAATTAATTTGATTAGATTAAAAAAATTAGGTAAGTTAGTTAATTATAAGAAATATGACATGTTTTTTCTAAAACATCATAATCATCTTTCTGAATATCTCCTATCTCCATTCTATTTGATTATAGTTGAGGAAGCATCTATAGAGGTAATTTTAAAAAAATTGATAAATATGATAAATAGATTTTATATTTAGGATTAAAATTAACTCAACAATTAGGTTCTATATTAAGGATAAGAGGGATGTTTCTTTTCTTCTTTTTTTTTTTTGGACACAGCAAATATCAACGACAATGAACGAATAATTCAAGGTCAATGGAACCATTTCAAGCCGACCACGCAAATCCATCATTCATCAACCATTTTTCTTTCCTAAGTTTTTAACTACCCCCCCCCCCAAAAAAAAAAAAGCCCCCATCTCTATTTTTTAATTCCCAAATTCTCAGCCCAAAAAGAGGAATTGACCAATATTTGACTATCTTTTTTGCTCCATATGAAATTTTTTAAATAAAAAAAATCCGTTTCAATTTTTTTTTTTAGGCCCAACCGTTTCTAATTAATTAAACACAGTCAATATGAAGGAAAAAATGTAAATCAAATTTGGCTAAAAAGAGAAAGAAGTGAAAAAAAGAGAAATTTGGAAAATGCAACTCAATTAGTTAAACTGTTTCAAATATTATTAGTGACTAAAAAGAAAAAGAAGTGAAAAAAAGATTTTTAATAAGATAGACAAATTTGGAATATTGAAAAGTTAGTATAGGTAGTTTGGTCAATATTAGGCACAATATTTTTCTCCCCTTCAAAAAATCCCAAATTTGGAAGGGAGCGTGGAGAGGAGAGGGGAGCGCTAAAATACAAATTTCTTTCCTCCTCTTCCTTTTATTTTTCCCAACCAAACACACTTATCACCTTCCCTTCCCGTCCCTCCCCCCTCCAACCAAATAGAGCCTAAAAGTCATGTTATGTGTGAAGAGTGAGCGAGTGGATGAAAGAATAAGCCAATAGGATAATTAATATAGTGAAAATTACTAATAATTAATAAGGAAAAAAAATAATATTCAAAATTTTAGACGAGTTGTCAATTAATATCTCTTATAAATTTGAACATTTTGCTTCTAAAAAAATTTCTTCTATAATAGTGAGGATTGGAGGAAGTGCTTCTCTAATATTAATTATAAGTCACTTCTAATATTTTTAATTAGAACTAAGAAAAATATTTAAATTCATTAACTCAACCTTAAATTTTAACAATTTTTTAACTTTACTTCTAGTTAATATATACACTTTTCAAAAAACAAATAATTTACACAATAATAAATTAAGGGAGACATCTCAAAAATTTAATGGTGTAACTTATGGGACAAAAATATATTATTTCTCCATTTTATTAACAGGATTAAGGGAATGGTTTATAATATAATGGAGGGTAAATTGCATCATTCCCTTCCATCTTTGTATTGATATTTTATGGTCTTGAAAATAATATTTCAAAAATATGCAAGAGTGTTCTCTTAAAGTTGAAATTCCTCTGTTACACAAAAAAAAGAAAGATGAAAGTCCTCTAACGTTTTAATCAAATCCCAGTATTATTTTTTTTCTTGAAATATTTTTTATTAACTTGTGTGTGTGCATATATTCAATTTTTTCCAAATATATTATCTCCACAAAAGAAAAAGAGATTTTATGATAAGTAAACATA